TTATTTGGTACTCTGAATGTTATTGATGGGGACAGTTCCCCTTTATGAAGCAGGCAGAAATCAGACTTGGCCAACTCCTTGTTGTATCAGCCCCTTATACAAGATACCAAATTCATTCTTTAAAGAAATAAAAAAGACAGTTTCTAGTTTCATACAGAACAGAAAGAGACCCTGAACAAGCAAAGCTCTTTTCAAAAACAAAATGGGAGGCATCCCAGTCCCTCCTCTCAAAACCAATTACATAACCATAGTAATCAAAACAGTATGGTATTGGTAGGACATCAGACACAAACATCAATGGAATTAAATCGAGAACCCAGGAATCAACTCATTTGCCTACAGTTAAATGATATTTGACAAGGAAGCAAAACTCATTACACAGGGAAACAACAGCCTCTTCAATATATGACGCTAGTTAAACTGGACATACACCTGAAGAAAACGACAACAGGATACATATCTCACAAAACACACACAAACCAACTCAAAGTGTACCAGAGACCTTAGTGTAATACTTCAAACCATAAAGACTTTAAGAGAAAAAATGGGATCCAAGTTAGAAGCCTTAGCCTATACAGGCTTGCAAATATAGCAAAAAATGTGCAACAAGGAGAGGATAAAATTGACAAGTGGGACGGTTTTAAAATCAATTCTCTGTGTGCATAAAAAAACCTTCAAAAGGGTGGAAAAATGGATCACAGAGGAGGAAAAATAATTTAGCAGTGACATTTCAGAAAGGGTCTCATAATGAAAGTTTTGAGAATACTACAGGGCCTCTACAAGAAGAAGACTGATAACCACAAAATTGGAAAAAGACATGAAAAGACTCTTCACAAAGGAGGTTATGTGGATGGCTAACAAACACATGAAGAAATGTTCAAAATCACTAGCAATAAGAGAATTGAAAATCAAAATGAGATACCATCTCGTTCCAACAGAAGTAGCAAAATTTAATAACACAGAAACAATAAATGTTGGACAGGATGTAGAGAGATTGGAAGTCTTATGCACTGATGGTGGGATTGTAAAATGGTACAACTGCTATGGGAAGCAGTCTGGTATTTCCTCAAAAAGCTGAACACAGAAATTCCATATGACCTAGCTATATTCTTTGGGAATATATCCCAACGAAATAAGAATTGAGACATGATTGGGCATATGTATACCTATGTTCATAGCAGTGTTATTCTCAATAGCAATAAAATGGAAACAGCTCAAATGCCCATCAACAAATGAATGGACTGAAAAACTGTGGTACATTCACAGAATGGTCTACTAAAAGAACAATAATTTTGGAAAATACTATATAACATGGGAGAGTCTACAGCATTATGCTGAATGAAACAACTCAGTTACATAAGGACAAATACTGCATAAGGCCACTATTGTGAAAATAGAATAACTGAGTAAGATATATATAAATGTTCAAAAGGAAAGAAAGAAGAAAAGTGGGGGCAAGAAAAGAGGACGGGAGGAAAGAGGTAAGAAAGTGGAGCAGGGGTGAAGGAGTAAGAAAGATACAACACGGACTAGAGATGGGCTGCAAATAGGTATAAACTAATAGTAATGAATGATATAAAACAATATATATATAATGATTGTACAAAATAATATACATCAGAGAAAAAACTCCCCAAACACCAGTTCTCTAGAGAAGGGGAAAAAAATTCCTTATAACTGTATTTTGAACAAGGTCTTGAAGCTGGTGCTCAGTGAGTAAGTAGCCCCTCAATTTATAAGTGGTGGAGAAAAAAACCTCATGAAATAAAAGACAAACCAAATAAGATAAATGGAAATACTGTTTTACATATATGAGCAAATAACAAAAAAGGGTATGGAACAGTGCTAGAGACAAAGTTGGAAACATAGTTAAATCACTAACCCAAAAAGAACTAGGCAAAAATCTAGCTATAAACATATATATACTAACAAAACTAATTTTAGAAAAAGGTTTCAGGGAAGTAAGAAACAAAGGAAAAGGTAGATCTATTCCTGAGATGAGAACCAGTCAGGAAGCAGCTTTAGAATCTTACTCCTGGTAGCTCAGATCTGCTGAAGTGAGGAGCAGGGTTAGAGAGAAAGCAGAAGGAAGTTACTAAATATTTAAATATTCAGCAAAGAACAGAAACACGATTTCAAGTATCACCTCTGTGATACAGATTCCAATATTCTGACATTGCTTCTCAATTCCAGATCCATATAGGAAACTTTATAAAAATTCATTACCAAAATATTCTTTTAGCACCTCAGACACAAATTCATTTTTCCTCCAATTTACTATGCTCCATGGACTCTGGTGGCCTAGTGGTGTGGAGCTGTACTGCCAACCCAAAGGCAAACTGTTTGAATTCATCTACTGCTGCTGCACCGGAGGAAAATGGACAATCTTGCCCTGTGTGATTTCATCTCTAAAATGCATATCAGCTATGAGTTGATTCTGACTTGACAGCAATAAGTGAGTGAGTGAGTGATGATGATCCTTAAATGAACAGCGACATTATCAGTGTCATCTGAACTAGGTATTTCAAATCTAATTTTCTCTTTTCTTTACCCAACTCATCCAACACACTTGGATGTTGTGCCCAGTCCCTTTTACCTTCACAGTATCTCCACTTCTTCTTTTCTTTTTTAAATCAGTACTATTGCCTTTATCAGTACTGGTGATCAGAAATAGTTTAGGAAAAGTCTATAGAATTCTATGGAACCTGGAGTAGGAAGCAAATAGAAGTGTGAGATAAACACAGATACAGAAGCAATAGCTCCAGGGGGAGACTGAGAATCATCTCTCAAGTTCATTGTGGCAATTACAGACTAATTTCAGACAAATAATAAAGTATTTGGATAGAAGGTCTAATAAGAGGCAAATGTTGCTTCAGCAGAGCAGTGGTATAAAGAAGGAGTAGGTCATTATGGTGACAGTGACATTGGAAAAATAACAAATACAGTATAGGTCCATGAATCAAAGTGGTCAGTTCAAGAAAAGGTAAGAGTATTTGAAAACAAGTAACCAAACCACATATCAGAAAGTTGATGCAAAATCATAGCAACACCCAGGATAGAGCAGAACTGACCCACAGGGTTCCCAAGGCTGTAAATCTTTATGGCAGTAGATTGCCATATATTTCTCATGCAGACCGACTGATGGGGTTCAAACAGTTGACCTCTGGATTACCTGTCTAGGGCTTTAGCCACCAGGGCACCTTGAAATAGTTAATAATTCTATGAAAACCAATGAGGCAAAAGAGCAGGGCATAGTCTAGTTTTTTAGGTACAGAGTTATACTTCTCTCTAGTCCAACAGACTTAGGAGACGAAGCAGAACTCAGCCCCAAGAGCTCTAACTAAAGAGCTCAGGAAAGTAGAACAGACTCTCCATTTGCGCTGAGAAGATAAAAAGAGAGCTATTTTTTTGTCCACATTACTGAAAAGTAAGAGCTCAGTTTCCATGTAAATGTTATAACTTTGGGTATAAAACAACAGAATATTATTTATGCTGCTTAGAAAGAGCTCCTGGAAACCCATCTGTCTGAATCTCCTTGTTTCTGGGAAATGGTGAGACTGGTTTTAGGATCTGATTAGCTTTTTTAGACAACTGTTGTTGTTGCTGTGTACCAGAGAGTCAGAACCGACCCATAGCTGACCCTCCAGCAGGTTTTCAGAGGTAGTTCATCGCACAGGAAGAGATTACCCATCCTTTTCCCATGGAGCAGCTAGTGGCTTTGAACCGCACGCCTTCAGGATTGCAGTGCAGGTTCTTGTCACTAGGACAATGAGGAACAGCAATCCTTTGGCACATGACCTATTAGTAATTGTTACACAGACTGCCTAACTGGTCTCAATTTATCTTTCACACTAGTGCCAAAGCTTTTCCTAAAACAAAGATGTGTTGTTGTTCTGTACCCCTGAGTCAGAACTGACACACAGCTAACTCTCCAGTGGGTTTTCAGAAGCAATGAATTGCACAGGAGGATACTGCCTATCTTTCCCTCGTCGAGGAGCCGGTGGATTCAAACCATGTGCCTGTGCCTTTGGGTTGGCAGTGCAACTCCTTACCATTGAGCTACCATAGCCCCCTAAAACAGACATATAAAAGGGATTTTCCTAAAATAAAAATGATCTTTTGCTATAGATATCTGCAGAGAAACAAACAAAAAACCCACATCAGTTCTAATGTCAAAGGAGCTTATGCTACAATTTCCTTATTGATAAAATGAAAATTTCCCTAATACCTCACACAGTAGTTTTAAGACGAAAAGAGTTAATGTTGTGAGTCCTTTACATGATGTAGTACACAGTAAGCCCAAACAAACAAAATGGAGAAAAAAAATTTGCTCATTTAATGTATCTTCTTAAAATCCTTCAATGACTAAGCCTCTACAGCTTGGCTTCATTATAAATGCAAGCATTTATTTCAGCCATGTCTGTCTCCTCTACTAGATTATAAACTACTTGAAGGCAGGAACCATGTCTGTTTTATCTTCTTAATACCCAGTATAATTTGTAGTACAGAAGTTCTAAAAAAGAAAAATAATAAGGTGCTTGCTGAATGAATAAGTGAGTATAATATAATCTCTTCTTCCATCCTATATACATATTCATGTACCCCAGTATATAGCTTATAATAATAAGTACATTGCTAATGAATGCTCCTCAGAATTAACTCTAAAGCAATGTAGGATCTTCAAATGCCCAGGGAATCCTCATACCCAATTTATTTCATTGAACAGCACAAGTTATTTTGTACTTTATTTCACTTTTGAGTACTTTGGGCTTTTCAAGGGAGGCAGGTATTGTGTGGATTAATAAAATCCATAAGTTGATACTATATAATCTTTGAGGTAGACAAATAGTTTCAAGAAGTTAAGTTAAAGATATATTTGTATGGATAGAATAAAATGATTATGCATAAGTGATTATAATTGCAAAACATCCCAATTTCTAAACATGCAACATAAAGAGAAACTCAGTAGATCTTTAGCAACCAAAATGCTGAACAATTACCATGCACTTGATTGATTTCTGAGTTGGAGGACAGAATCTCATCGGCCAGTTTCTGTGCAGTAGGAAGAACTTCAGTGTGGTGTGCAGTGATTAAATATTGAATAAACTTTTGTAACTGATCTCTATTCATCTGGAAAAGCGTTTCTGAGATAGGAAGACGTAATTTGACTTGGTCTGGTTTACGGATCCTGTAGAGTGAGAGCGCTACCACATGAGCACAGTAGAATATGTCCTTGTTCCCACAGCCACACGTCACTGAAGTGATTTTGCATCGATCAAAACTGATAGCAACTTTGTAAGTCATTGCTGGTTCAGAAGCAGTGGCTGGCTCTGTTACTGTACCGCTCAGATGGAAGCCTAGAGAAACAAAGAAAAAAAATGTGTTTAGAGTGATTCTGTAGTAAGAGACAAAGTTTCTCATTCTGTATTTCATTAATTCAGAAAATACTACCTTCTCTGCTGCAGGCACAAAGGCCAATGAAATTCAAGCTTTGCTCTCAGGAAACACATAACCTAGAACTAAGATGCTTAATCTGGAGCCTATGAATATACATGAAAAAAATTTTTTGTAGATTTATATACTTTTTTAGGAGGATAGTTCATAGTTATCATCATAATTTTAATAAGGTTTATCACCCCAAATAAATTAAGAACTCCTGTCATGGATTTTGAGCTCAGGATAATGGCCATAAAGCAAATCTACAAATAACATTAGTACAATGTAGATAAGTGAAAGAGAAACTTAAGAGTGCTGTGAGAAAAGGCAGGAGAGATAACAAAGAAAATAAAGGACAATATTAATACTCAAAACATACAATTCCTCCCAGCAACAATAGCAAAGTTCAACATGGCAGCAAGCAATAAATGCTGGTGAGGTTGTGGAGAGATTGGAACTCTTATTCACTGCTGGTGGTAATGTAAAATGGCATGACCACTATGGAAGACAGTTTGGTGCTTTTTCAAAAAGCTCAAAATAGAAACACCGTTTGACCCAATTATCTCACAGTGGGAATTATACCCTGAAGAACCGTGATAAAAACAGATGTATGCACACCCATGTTTACTGCAGCATTATTCACAATAGTGAAGAGATGGAAGCAACCCAACTGCTCCTCAACAAATGGACATAAAAACGGTGGTACATTCACACAATGGAATATTATGAAGCACTGAAAAACAATAAACATGTGAAAAACTACGTAACATTGATGAGTCTAGAAATATTATGCTTAGTGAAGCATCTCAGTTATAAAAGGACAGATACTGAGTTAAACTGCTGTCAAAATAAGATTGACATGAGGGTGGGGGGAGAATAGAAAAACAGTAGACAGACAATACTGCATTGAAACAGTTGAAGGAAAGGAATGTATGATTAGGCATGACATGTATGACAATGAACAATCTGTAACAGGAAGTATATAACAAAGTTAATTGGGGAGGAGGAAGGAAGGAGGGAGCAGGAAAAGCTGCATCAATGAATGAATTAAAATCCAACCTTTTTATAAACTTTCATTAAAATCACAATAATAACTTTAACTTAAAAAATTCAACTAACTTAAGCTGATGGGAAAACTGTCCCAGTTCTAAATTGTACTTAAAAAGATTCTCATTTTTCCTTTCTTAAAAAAAAATACATCCCCCAAATCCAACAAAACCAACAACTCCAAAAATAACAAAACAAAACAACACAACAACAAAAACAAAACACACAATTCCCAAATGAACATGTTAGATGCTGTCAGGCTGGCTTTGGCTGAAGGAGATCTTATGTATAACATAATGAAATTCTGCCCAGTTCTGTGCCATCTTCATGTCCTTTTGCTTGAGTCTGTTGTTGTGGTTATTGAATACATTCAACTCACTGAGAGTTTCTTTACCTTTTTCTGAACACTTTACCAAACATAATATCCTTTTCTAGTGCTTGCTCTTTTCTGATGATCTGTTCAGAGTAAGCAATCAGTCTTGCCATCCTTGCTTCTAAGGAATATTCTTGTATATCTCTTATGACTGATTTGCTCATTCTTTTGACAGTCCATAAGTCAATATTCTTTGTCAGGACAATTCAAATGCATTCATTCTTTTTATTGTCCTGGTTTCACATGTCTAAGTTGTTGTTGTTGATAGGTGCTGTCAATTTGAGCATAACTCATAGCAACCAAAATATATTAACCCTGTTCTATGCTGCACCATCCTCACACTTTCTGACACACAAGAGCCCATTGCAGCAGTCACCATGTCAATCCAACTGGCTGAAGGCCTTCCTTTCTTTCACCGGCCCTCCACCCTTCCCAATATCATGTCTTTCTCCAAGGAATAGCACCTCATAGCAACATGCCCAAAGTATGTAAAGAGAAGCCTCATCATTCTTGCCTCCAAAGAGCACTCTGGCTACACACTCTCCAAGAAAGCCCCATAGTTTTGGCTTAGGTTAGGGGCCCTGTTAGCACAGTTGTGTAACCTTTTGGTTACTAACTAAGGCAGTCTACTCTCATGAAGATTTACAGCCTTGGAAACCCAGTGGATGGTTGCCATGAGTTGGAATCCACTCAAGTGCAGAGGTGAATGGGGTATGGCGGGGGATGTAGAACATCTAAAAAACATGAAACTTCATAGGATTTGGAAGGTAAAGTTTGAAATAAAAAAAACCCACAGAAACCCACTACTACCTTTGAGTCAATTCCAACTCCTGGTGACCCTCCATCTTCCTCTAGTAGAGCAGCTGGTGGACATGAACCACTGACCTTTCATTCAGGAGTTCAACGTATTATCCACTGTCTGGCCAGGATCCTGCTTGCTATGTTATTGTTCTTATGTACTGTTTAGTTGGAACCAACTCATAGCTGATCCACAGTAGGACTGCCAGGGGCAGGAAATAGTACAGGAGGAGACTGCCCACCCTTCTTTCAAAGAGCAATTGGTGAATTTGAACTTTATGCCTCTTGGTTGGCAGCACAACTCCTTCCCACTAAACCACCAGAGCTCTTGTGGTCCTGATATAGATTACAATGTATTAATACACTGCTATAAAATAGGTATAGAGCATCAATATTTATGAAATGTAAAGCAGGTATTTTTTTAGTCTTTTAAATGTTTTTAATTGGTTTGCATATAATAATCTGTTTATATTGAGTTTCATTCATGAACATTGATTTGGTTTTGAGTTTTTTTCCTGCCCCCTCCTTCCACCCATCAAACTCTGCTACCCCATGATTTCCTCTTTTCCCACTCTTTGTCCCCTTCCCCCTCTCTTTTCCTCTTTGGATATCCAGATACATCTTACTGGTTATCCTTTTTTTTTTTTTCCTTACAATAACGATCTTTTACAGTATTTGTTTTCATGTGCCTGAGTTAATTTATTTTTTAAGTGATCACTAATTTGAAAAAGTCAAATCAATAATAAACAGATTCTATAATAATGTTTATTCTGTACTTTAAATATGATTATTCTCCTTTTACAAGAATATGTAGTCATCTAATTATTCAGACCTGGGAAAGCTCCTTATGATTCTCTGCCTTTGAAAACCTGCTGGAGGGTCAGCAATGAGTTGGTTTTTATTCAAGGGCACATAAGTATCAGATACTATCAGGCTTAGGAACACCATGGGGGGCATTATTGATGCAGGTTCTTTATGTGGACCTCTACCTTGATTTGTTAAAAAATAGTTTAAGGGTTTACCCCCACCCCCTAAATCCTGAGGACATTTGTTACCTTTCCCCCCAGTTTTCTGGAGTGTAAGATTGGGAGGCCACATTCCAGGCTATTTTCTACCCCTGAGTTTGATATTTTTGCCCAGGTTTAACAGTCTGTCTCTGCTGGCAGGCAAATGTTACTTTTCTTCAAGATCAGAGTTGATGGAAATTCCATGGGTAATTGAGAACTGGTTGAACCCTGGTCTGGTGAGGATGCTCCATCTTGTAATTGATGAGGATTGGGATATAAATGACTGAAAGGCAAAGGTTTTGGATACCTCCTGATTGACAAAAGTCAAGAAGGGAGCATGTCCTTTGGGAGACAAGAAGACAGAGACCCTGTACCTAAAATCTTCATTGTTGTTAGGTGCCATCAATTTGAGTACAGCCCACAGTGACCCTAGGAGCAGATCTGAATACTGTCCTATCCTGTGCCACCCTCACACTTCCTGACACATTAGAGCCCATTGTGTCAGTCATCATGTCATCCACCTGGTGGAGGGTCTTCCTCTCCTTTGCTGACCCTCTGTCTTTCTAAGCATTATGTCTCCTCCAAGGAATAGCCTCTTCTAGAAACATATCTGAAGTATGTGAGACAAAGCCTCATCATTCTTGCCTTGAAATAGCACTCTGGCTACTCCCTTTCCAAGACATATTTGTTCTTTTGGCAGTCCATTGGATGTTCAGTGCTATTCTCCAACATCACAGTTTAAAGGCATCAATGTTTCCTGTCTCCTTATTCATTGTCCAGCTCTTAGATGCATAGCAAGGGATCATAAAGACCACAGTTTATTACATTTTGCATGTGTACTGTCAAATCAGATCTGACGGTACAGGAGGAGATTGCCCCTCCTTCTCCAGCAGAGCATCTGGTGGATTTGAACCACACACCCCTTGGATTGCAGTGCAGCTTCTTGCGACTAGGCTACCAGAGCTCCCAAAGACCACGGTTTAAATCAAACTCATCTTAGTCTTCAAACTGACATCATTACTCCTCAATAATTTGTAAATGTCCCTAACTGCAGACTTTCCCAGTGCAATACGTCTCCTGGTTTCCTGACTGTTGGTACCAAGGGTGTTAATTGTGGATCCAAGTAAGATGAAGTGGTTGACAATTTCAATCTTTATCTATCATGACGGTGACTATTGGTCAAGCGGTAAGAATCTTTGTTTTCTTGACACTGAGATGCAATCCATATTGAAGGCTGGAGTCTTTGATCTTCTACAAGTGCTTCAAGTCCTCCTCATTTTCAGCAACAAAGTTGTGTCATCTGCACAACGCAGATTACGGATGAGTCTTCCTCTTATTCTGATGCCACATTCCTTTTAATAGAATCTTGCTTCCAGAATACGTTATCAGGACTATGAAGATTAAAAAAAAAATCCACCAACTTCATATCCTTGTAAATTAGCTGCAGCTGAGATTGTGGCCAGTATAGAGCTGGAACATCAGAGATCCAACTACAGAAAAGTCTGAGAACAGATTGCAAATGAGAATGAGTGGACTGCTCCACTGGCCAGGAGCTAGACTAGCAGCAGAGAGGCCCAGTGGCAGAGAGCAGCTGGGAGAGGTGTCCTACACTGAATAAGGGAAGGATGTGCTCTCCACAGGGAGCTACGATGTCACAGGCCACAAGGAATTGCACTACTAACCCAAGGGTGGTACT